AATCAAAACTAGTATTTTCTTAAATTTATTAAGAGTGTAATTAAATCTCTATTTTCTTAATTTTATTTGTTTCAAACTTCTCAATTCTACATTTTTGTAAGTTCTATCATTATATTATCATCCTCATCTCCTCCCATGTTCTACTTTATCTTTACAATAGTCAATATTCTTAAATAATTTATATTTTTAATTATAATTTTTTAGTATATATTTCAAAAATTAATCAATTCTAATCTATTATTTGAAAAACTAATCAATTCTAATCAATAATTTAGAAAACTAATCGATTATAATTAATTATTTGAAAAAATTATCAAATATGATCGATCATTTTGAAAATCTAATCGATCGAATAAAAAAATCTGGTTGTATATGATAGCGGTTCCACTCGGAACCGCTATTAAAAGGGCACTTCTAATAGCGGTTAACCCTTAACCGCTATCTAAAATATACTTTAGATAGCTGTTAACGTGGAACCGCTATTATAGATCATAATGAAAACTTACATTAACTATTTTTTTGAATATTATGTTTTTAAATTTGCAATTAGAGAAAACCTTTCAGAATTCAAAATGTTAAATACTTTTAAATATTAAAATTAACTTTATAAAAAATTAGGAAAAAAATTAATCCAAAAGAGTTCAAAAATGTATTATAATATTGTCAATTTTGAGTTTAATTATATTGTTCATTCTCAAAGTAGAAAAATATATTGTAATTATTTTAATTTAATAAAATATAATTTCAATTTTTAATACTAAAATTAAAAGATTAAATAATAATAAATTTAATTCTTTAAATTGAGTATTTAGAAACTAAAATTATAGTTTCTCTGTTTTAAATAATTAAAATAAATATTTAAACATAAAAATCAAAACTAGTATTATCTTAAATTTATTAAGAGTGTCATTAAATCTCTATTTTCTTAATTTTATTTGTTTCAAACTTCTCAATTCTACATTTTTGTAAGTTCTATCATTATATTATCATCCTCATCTCCTCCCATGTTCTACTTTATCTTTACAATAGTCAATATTCTTAAATAATTTATATTTTTAATTATAATTTTTTAGTATATATTTCAGAAATTAATCAATTCTAATCTATTATTTGAAAAACTAATCAATTCTAATCAATAATTTAGAAAACTAATTGATTATAATTAATTATTTGAAAAAATTATCAAATATGATCGATCATTTTGAAAATCTAATCGATCATAATAAAAAAATCTGGTTGTATATGATAGCGGTTCCACTCGAACCGCTATTAAAAGGGCACTTCTAATAGCGGTTAACCCTTAACCGCTATCTAAAATATACTCGTAGATAGCGGTTAACGTGGAACCGCTATTATATCTTCTCAATTATGATCAATCATTTCTAATTATAATCGATAATGAAAAGAGTGCTAAAGTTTGCTTGATTGATTGCTCAAGGATGTGTAAAAACTGATGTTCAATGTGTGTTTAAAAAGTTCAAGCCAAACTGTTTTTATAGAAGATTTTCAAAACTGCTGGTTTAATCAATCTGTTAAAATAATCTTTTAATTTGTTAAAAGTGCAGTTTTAATCTGTAAAAAATTCTTTTAATCCATTAAAACGTTCTTGATTCTTTAACAGATTTGTTTTAACTGATACGACAACGTTTATATCAATTAAAACTCTTTACAAAAAATCTTCTAATTTGTTTTAATCAATTGTTTCGTGATTCAATCGATTGAAATACTGCAAAACTTTATTGTGAGTTTTTCCAAGTGATTTTAACTGATAAAAATAAGTTTTAATCGATTAAAATGCTGTGTAGAAATTTTCTAAGTTGTTTTAATCGATTGAAACGTGTTTTAATCGATTGAAAAAGCTCTGATCGGTCATAACTCAATTCTGATCGATCATATCTGATTCTGATCGGTCATAATTGCATTCTGATCGATCATCCTGAACTCTAAGTGGTTTTAATCGATTAAAACCAAGTTGTATCGATTAAAATACTGCAAAAACACTTCTCTTAACATTTTAAGTGTTTTTAATCGGTTATTTTGAAGCTTTATCAGCTTAAAACACTCGATGTAAGGTTTTCAAAACTTTCTTTAATGAAAACAACCTAGTTATTTCGAAATTATATCAGCTTAAAAACTTGTTTAAGAAAGCTTTTGTTAAAATACTTTGTTTTTAACTCGCTTAAACGTATTTAGAGGCATTTTGCAAAATCTTTTAAGTGAAGAAACCTCATGCAGCAGTAAAAGATAAAAATGATTATACCTAAGCATAGCTGAAGACACACTAATTCCTCTACTCTTTTATCAAAGTGATCTGTTGACCGCTACAAAGTTGATTTTGACTTTATCTTTGACTTCATCAAATCAATAAGATCTTTGTCGAGTGTTTCAATAAGATCTTCATCACTTTCATACAATAATTAATATTCTTAAGTAATTTATATTTTTATTTATAATTTTTTAATGTATATTTGAGAAATTAATCAATTATAATCTATTATTTGAAAAACTAATCAATTCTAATCAATTATTTAGAAAACTAATCGATTATAATTAATTATTTGAAAAAATTATCCAATATGATCTGTTATTTGAAAATTTAATCGATCATAATGGTTGTATATGATATCGGTTCCACTCGAACCGCTCTTAAAATAGAACATCTAATAGCGGTTAAACCTTAACCGTTATCTAAAATATAGTTTAGATATCGGTTAACGTGGAACCACTATTATATAGTTTCAAATATAAATTTAAATATATTTTTAATTTATTTAAATATGCTTTATTTTTAGTATTTATAAAATAGATTAGTTTTAAATTTTTAACTTTTCTAGCAGTCTATTTTTAATCTTTGTTATTAATTATGTTAAAAATGAAAAAATATTAATTAGTATACTTAAACTAATGTATATTGATTATCTAATGTATATTGATATAATTTTTTTGTATATCAATTATATGAAAATAACCATGGTTAAGTAATTAATAATAATAAAGCAATAAATTTAAAGATTAGATTAAAAATAAAGTTTTATAAAATAAAATTGTAATTATTTGATTAAAATTTTATTTTCTTAATTAATTAAGTTAATGAGGAATTAAAATGTGATCATTTGATGTGTTTAATTTTTTTAATATACATTTTTAAAATATAATTTAATTTCAATTGAAATTTTCATTTGAAAAATAAATTAAAGAATATTTATTATTAAACTTTTCTTAAACAATGTATTGAATAGTTAATATTACTCTAGTCTTAATTTATTACAATTTAAATTTTTAATAAATTTGATTTATTTTTAATAATATTTTTATTTTAGTAATTTAAAATTAAAGTTAATCTTCATTTTGTTAATATTGAGACCAAAGTTTATTTTTAAAGTATCTTTTAAAAATTAAATTATTTTTAGAAAATAAATTACTTTTAAAAAATAAATTGTCAAAAATATACTAAAACAATTAAAGTATATTTATAAAAAAATAAATTTAAATATCATAAAAAAATAATGTTCGTTAGCGACAAATTTAAATTCGGTCGCTATTTTCTCATTAGCGACCGATTATAATTCGGTCACTATTTCAATTTGTAATTCGGTCGCTAAATCAGTCGCTAAATGATTTTTTTATTTTAGTGTGGAATAGCCACCGATTTAGCGACCCAAATTTTGCGACGCAAACTATTGGTCGCTATTTCGGTCGCTAAATAACAAAATGAAAACCAATTCATATTTTGGTCGCTAAATCGGTCGCTAATTGCAACCGAATTAAAGTGGTCGCTGAATCGGTCGCTAATTGCGACCGAATTAAAGTGGTCGCTAAATCGGTTGCTAATTGCGACCAAAATTAAATCGGTCGCTAATTGTGACCGAAAAAATTCGGTCGATAATTTCGGTGGCTAAATGTGATTTTTCTTGTAGTGACACTCATATTCTCTCTAATAAAGATTAAACATTAACAAAATTAATAAACATACAAGATCATTAAAAAAATTCCACTATAAAGTTTTTATTTTCCTTATGAAATAAGTTGTGACATAAAATCAAATCTACAATTATTTCTATTGCTATGTATTTATTTAAAAAACTAGTTATTATCTACAGATCCTCGTTTAAAAATTTATTTAAATTTGTAGAAAACTTATTTCTTATAATTTTTTATAAGAATTTGTAAAAATATTCTTATGAAATATAAGAATTTCTGATATGTGGTAGAGACGTGGGTATTATGTGGTTTTTCCTAACAAACTGGCATATATGTTTGTCGAATGACCCATACAATGATATTAGAAGTCAGGTGTAATAAGTCACATGATTGAGTGTACGTAGTTGATAAGCAGACTAAATGGGAGGCCAAACTCAATGGAAATGAATGCTAGAAAAATTTCACTTGAAAATTTGTTGTCTGCTATGGATTGTTAGTTGTGTGTTTCTTTTATGTTTTGCATTGCACCAAAAAAATAAAGTTTTAATAGCATGTTAAAATTGTATTTAGCTAAACCTTAAAAATTAATTCAAGGAAAAAGACAACCCAATCTTATGAATTGAAAAGTGGCATACTGGCATATGAACTGTGGTTTACACTGTAGTCCATGTGAAAGTGGAATATGAATATTTGCATGCACTTATTAGCTGCGATTGTGCAACCAATTTTCATGGAATGATAGTAACATCCCTTAGGGTAGGATTTGCCCCTTAATAATGTCATTTTTTAAGATAAATAAATTATTAAAAAATATTTCAAGCACTTTGTAAAGGGGTCCTTGAGCCATTTATAAAAATATGATGCTTCTTAATGGCTTATAGCAACTTAAAATGCTTAATCCAAAAGAGTACAAGAGAGGCGGGCAAGTGCTTAGAAGACAAGAAAAATTAAGAATCAAAGTTCTTACTCCAACCAACTGCCTCAAATAATAAAATTTGTGGACAAAAAGGGGCCACATAATTCAAGACATACACACCCTTCAAGATGATTTACATGCAGAATAAACCTTCACTGTGTTGTTAGGCAACACTGAAGGAACTTGCGGTGCTCTCCACAAATTTTCTTGCACCCTTAAACCATCTCTTGTCTCCAGCTTGAGCTTTGCAAATGTATAGTTTGCCATCTTTCACAGTTGCTGTAATCAGCTGATGCTTGCCACCTTCATCACCATCAGCTGTCCTTGTCAACACAGACAAACTGTAGTACTTTTTCCCATCAATGACAGGTGATGCACTCTCCAAGATGTTTGCAGTTGCTACAGCATTGGAATCAAAACCACCCTGAGAAAGTCAGTTCAGAAGCAGTTAGCCTATGTAACAATTTTTGGTGCATTCTTGATGATTAAACTCAATAGGTTATAAAAATTGTTGTCAAAATGGAAATGTTTGGTTTTCAGTTTAGTTCCATAAACCACAAGTCTAAATATTTTTACACTGTAAACCAATTGAAAATCACAGTAGTGTAAACTTTGCACTGTTATGTACATGACAATCTATTATTGGATGACAGTATATTCTAAATAAATTCTAACTTGTTAATATTCATTTTATGCTTTGTACCAAAGTTTTAATAGGGCTAGCTGTGATTAAAAGTCAAAATCAAATATATAATTGTTTAGTTTTCATACATTATTTCCAATGAATATTTTCATTTTTATTTCCTTGACTAGTATCTTAACAACGTTTTGTTAGCATTTGCCAAAAATGAAAAAAGAAAGAAAGAAGACAATTGTAAGGTTGAAAAAGTATGTCATAATGCTACTCAAAATATGAATAAATTACCTCAGAATCAGTTTGGCCAAAAAAGGCTTGTTTTCCAAGCAAATAATCCACCTACAAAGAGGAAAATCCAAGTCTTGAATTCCCAGCAACTGTTGTAATTATCTTTAAACTTCATAGACATTATTCAATTAGATTTTACAATGTCACTCAAGACTATTTATTGTACATACATGCATAAATACATTGGTTATAGTATGAAGTATGAACATTCATTATTAAGTAGAAAACAAGCAAAAGGTTGTGAGTTTACCTCAGATAGGAACTTCTCAGGTGAACCATAGTCAGTGATGGACTTCTTATCAGTTGCGGTGACCATGACAGCAACATTGCTTGTTGTGTCAAAATTATCCTCATATCTAAGAACCTGACCTGGGTACTCAACCTCTTTGCTTGGGTTCCACTTTGAGGGAATCGACAATTTGAATCCATCCCCTTTGTATGGAAGGAAGTCTGTGTTTGTCTTTGGCTTTCCAAACACATTGGCTGTAATAAAATCAATAGTGACACTGTTAGTATTTTAGGAAGGATAGGAAATGTTTGTTTGTTGTTTATTAATGAGAAGGTTAACAATGTGGAAGGGTTTGTATTAATTTTACATGCTCATTACACAAGTGACATTGACTATTTATAGGGCTCCTAAAATAGTCTACATTATTTTAGATAATTCTAATTTTTCCTAACTCTAGAATTATCAAGATAAGTTCTAGAACTATCTTTTTCTTTCATACTAGATAATCTTATTTATAGTTTTCTATACTTATCTTAAGGTTGTCATGTATATTTTCTAGATTTTTCTAAAAACTTGTATAATCTTTTAACATATAGTAATAAAAATTCTAATTTTTAGAACACCCTAGATTTTTCGAGGAAGATTCACTAAGAAGAGATAACACTAATGAGACATGAATTCAATTCACATAAGAGATTGACACTACTTTCAACCAAAAACCTTAAGATATTAGGATATGAGTCTTTTTTTTCCTCATATATTGTTCAACTTCCTTATTTTCACTTAATGTGGGACTTAAACCCACACTTAGATTTCTTAACAATCTCGCCCTCAAGCGTCAGTCTTTTAATTACGGAGAGATATATTTCCAACATTTACTCCTTCCTAACTTAATTCAGGGCATCATCTGTTAGGAATATTACTTTATTATCTTTTATTTAAATTAGGTATTAAGAGATTTTATTATCTTTTAAGAGAAAAGGTAAAAAGACATTAGGTTATTATTTTGATTTAGGCGCTTATGATTGAAATATTATTAATATTTGATATTTTGTAATATTTTTACTCTATATATACATAGAGTACATGAATAGAAATATACCCACATGATATATAAGAAATACACATATACACAAAACCCTAAAAATTCTCAACAAATTGGTATCAAGAGCTTTGGTTTGACACAATGGAAGGAGAAAGAAATTTTCCACAAGTCGCTATTCCAATTTTTTATGGTGAAAGTTATGCCTTATGAGTTGTGAGAATGTAATCCTATCTTAAGGATTAGATGTATAGGAAGTTGTAGAAGAAGATTATATTGTTGATCCACTACCTAAAAATCCCACCAGAGCTGAAATGAAATTTCACAGAGAAAGAAAAATGAGGAAGACAAAAACTAAATCATGTTTGTTTGCTGGTGTTTCACAAATGATCCTCACTAAAATCATGATGTTAAAGTCACCCAAAGAAATTTGGGATTATTTGAAAGATCAATATGAAGGGGATGAGAAAATTCGAGGTATGAAAGTTCTAAACTTGATAAGGAAATTTGAGATAAAAAAGATGCAAGAGTCTAAGACAATTAATGAATACTCAAACAAATTGTTGGATATTGCTAACAAAATAAAATTGTTAGGCAAGGAATTTTCTGATTCCTGAATAGTTGAAAAAATTCTGGTAAATGTGCCAGAGAGATATGAAGCATCCATTTCTTCATTGGAAAATACAAAGGATTTGTCTAATATTACTTTAGCAGAAGTGCTACATGCTTTACAAGCACAAGAGCAATGAAGATTGATTAGAGGAGACATGCTGCTGGTGAAGGTTTTTTACTATATCATGATGGAGGTTTTGTCCAAGCCAAGAACAATAAAGGTACAAAATCACGAGTCTTTTTTGTTTGTCCTTATTGCAAGAAAAATAATCACACACCCAACAAGTGTTGATGGAGACCTGATGTGAAATGTCACAAATGTGGTCAATTGGGATATATAGAAAAGATATGCAAATCACAACCAGAGGAAGTCGTTCAAGTTATAGAGGATAGAGTAGAAGAGGTACTTCTCCTTGCATCAACATGCTCTACAATAAATAAATCTACAGGTTGGCTAATAGATCGTGGTTGTACAAACCACATGACTCATGATTGAGAATTTTTCAAAGAGCTTAATGAATCACATATTTCTGAAGTGAGAATCGGTAATGGAGAACAAATGGATGTGAAAGGTACGAGAACAATTGCAGTTAAAAGTCATTCGGGCATCAAATTAATTTTTGATATTTTATATGTTCCTGATATAAATCATAATTTGTTAAGTGTTGCTTAATTATTGGAAAAAAGTTATAAGGTGTCTTTTGAACACAAACCTTGTGTGATTAAAGATATAAATAACTTGGAAATATTCAAAATTCACATGAAAGGAAAAAGATTCACTTTAGATTTGATGAAAAAAGAGACGATTACAACGAAAATATAAAAGAAAAGTAAAAAAAAAAAGCATGAAGAAGATTTCTTGAAGGAACTTGATGTTAAAGAAGAAAATAAAGATGTAGATGAAGAAACCATTTCCAACTTTCATCAAAGAGTTAACGGTACTACTATGAAGTCTGAAAGAAACAAAGAAGATGAAGTTGATAAAGGAAAAAATATTTTGATGAAGAGAGTGAAGTTGAATGAAAATGTGATCTCACACAAAAAAGAAGATGACAAGAAGTATAAACAAAAAAGGAGGAAAAATTATAAGTAAAATAAAAGGAAAAAATATCAAATTCAAATAAATAGATATTAAAGTAAGGAGCAATGTTAAGAATATTATTTTATTATCTTTTATTTAAATTAGGCCTAGGTATTAAGAGATTTTATTATCTTTTAAGAGAGAAGGTAAAAAGACATTAGGTTATTATTTTGATTTATACGAGTTATGATTGAGATATTATTAATATTTGATATTTTATAATATTTTTACTCTATATATACATAGAGTACGTACATGAATAGAAATATACTCATATGATATATCAGAAATACACATACACAAAACCCTAAAAATTTTCAACATCATCAGTCCTACTTCCTTGTAGCAAATCAAGTATTTCTTGATTAGTATCATCTTGATTAACATGTGAGACCAATTATCATTTGTGTGAACTTTCTGCAACTGTGATCAGCCATCGTTCAAAGCTTTCCTTATCCAATGATAATGAACATCAATATGCTTTGAATAGGAATGATAAGGAGAATTCTTACTAAATGAATTACACTTTGATTATCACAATAAACAACAAAAATATTTTTGGATTGTGACCTAATTCTTGCAAGCTTCCAATGCTACAATGTACTACCCAAATTATTTTATATAAAAACTTTTTTTGGTCCTTTTGAGCTAGGAGGTTCATTGACATAATATCAGAAATTCTATGTAATCATGTATAAGAAAAATACTCTAACCCTCACTGACCTCATTCTTTCAATTATAATTTCTGCAATAAGTTTAAGTGGGCTTATGGTTCAAGGCCGAAGGGCGATAAAAAAGCCACTCTTAATACACTAGCTAGACCTATGAAGATTTCTCAGTCTGGTCCACATCACTCTATTTCTTTCATCTTTAAATTCTAACAAGCCATATAGGCAATGCACAATCCTGAAGTAAACTGTACACTTTTTCCTTACAATAAAATAACATTTCAATTAAATGAAAAGATATTGCAGTTATATGGTTTTCCCACAAACTATCATGACACCAAAGAAAGTGTGAATTTCATAAGAATTCAAAAACACCTGCTTCCTAACCAACAGTGAAAATAAGTTAGAGTCTGGACCAAACTTTTTGTTAGAAAAAACACAGTCTGAACCTAACCTGACCTATTAGGCCTAAAAAGCTTTTGATTGGCCTAAAATTTGACCTTTTAACTAAATAAGTTTTTAAAAAAGTCTAAGTCTAACATATTGTTTGATGCAAGTTAGGTCGTAGACCTTATCAGATTGATTTATTTGTTTTTATCTCTATTTTTCATTGACTATTTAGTTCAAGAAATATCTCCAGCAAGCACCCTATGAAAATTACCCTTTTGACACACTCTCTTATCCAATGAAATTCTCCATTTGGTGGTTCGATCCCTATACTAACCAGTGTAATTCACATAGACTTCAACCAATATAAAAAAGTATACCAAACAAGGTAATGCACATAAATGTTACAAGAAAGTTGGAAGCACTAATTGTTAGTTCAATAACAATGTATTTGTTACAAACTAAGATGATCAAGTACTAAATATAACAGATTTAGGAATTAATTGTAAGAAAAAATGCAGAGAAGAAAGGTAAAAGAGAAGGATATAAATGCAGCAGGAAAAATGGTCTTTCACTGCTACCCACAGAGCTATGCTCCAATAGAGAACAAATATTCCCTACCCACTGATTTCTTACTCATTACTCCCCCCTCTCACTACATGACACTCATCCCTAAATAACTAAATTCCTCCCCTCCCTCCTAACAAACTTACTCTTCTAATAATTTCTTTTTCCTCAAGAAAGAAGAGTCACATTCCTTTTTTACCCTTTCTAGAATACACATACCACACTTTGGGTCCATGAGCCACTCCCCAATAGCAAAATTGTGCTCCTGTCGATGCGCATCAACCTGTCCCTTGATACGATCTTGAACACGAGTCAAATGATGTTTTAGTTGTCGTAAAGTTTCGTCTCTGTCCACCAATTCTTGTTGCACAGCTTCCACCCACGTTTCCCCTTGTAGAAATCTCACCAATGCTGGTGGTTTATGGCCATACACCGCCTCAAACGGGGTAGTTTCGATTGATTGATGGAATGTGGTGTTGTACCAGTATTATGCCCAATGCACCCAATTTACCCACATTTTTGGTTGGTCAGCGATGAAACAACATAGATAGGTTTCTAGGTAACGGTTGACTACCTCTGTTTGTCCATCCGTTTGGGGATGGTATGCGGTACTCATCTTCAGCTGAGTGCCCTGCAACTTGAAGATCTCCTTCCAAAAATTACTGACAAAAATAGGATCTCTATCACTGACTATGGCCTTGGGAATGCCATGTAACCGAATCACCTCCTTGACAAAAATCTCAGCCACTGTCTTTGCTGTATAGGGATGTTTAAGAAGAATGAAGTGTCCATATTTTGACAGCCTATCTACCACCACTAATATTGCCTCATACCCTCGATCTTTAGGGAGACCTTTTATAAAGTCCATGGAAACCTCATCCCAAATTTGTTGGGGAATTGGTAGAGGCTGCAAAAGGCCACCAGGGGAAGTAGCCAAATGTTTCTGTCTCTGGCAAATATCACACTGTTGGACATATTCTTGAATCTTCTTCGTCATCCCAATCCAATACAAGTTGGCTGCAAGGCGTTGATATGTCCGGTAAAAACCTGAATGTCCCCCTTCTGCAGTGGCATGGTATTCTTGCAACAATTTAGGTATCCATTCAGAATTTGGTGATATCACCAACCTTCCTTTATAATACAGAACTCCTCTGATATAAGAGAAACATGATTTAAGCGTGTTATTTTGAACCAACCCTTCAATGATAGCCTTCGACTTGGGGTCTTGATGCACCTCCTCAATGATTTTTTGACTGTCCTCCCAAAACAGATAGTATATCAAAGAGCAGAAAGACCCTTTGACCTCATGCATTCGGGATAGAGCATCTACACCTCTGTTACTAGCACCCGGTTTATATATAATATCGAATTGATAGCCCAATAACTTGGCCATCCAATTCTGTTGGTCCATGGTAGAAATCCTTTATTGCATGAGTTGCTTGAGGCTTTTCTGATCAGTGCTCACCATGAACTTTCTACCCAACAAATAAGGTCTCCAATGTAGGATTGCCAGCACTACTGCCATTAATTCTTTTTCATAAGCTGATTTGGACAGATTGTGTTCACTTATGGCCTTACTAAAATAAGCTACTGGTCTACCCATTTGTGTGAGTATTACCCCAACCCCTCCACCGGAGGCATCACATTCAATCAGAAACTGTTTAGTGAAATCGAGTAAGGCTAAAATTGGGGCTTCCGTCATCTTTGTCTTTAGCTGATTAAATGCATCTTGAGCATGAGAATTCCATTGAAACCCATCAGTTAAAAGCTTTGCAATCTTCCCATAGTCCCTATGAATTTCCGATAATAACCCGTTAGCCCCAAAAAACCACGCACTCCTTTGACATTTTTTGGATTGGGCCACTATTTGACACTCTCCACCTTCCCTGGATCCATCGCCACACCCTGGGCTGAGACCACATGACCCAAATACTCAATGGATCTCTGAGAAAACTGGCACTTCTTCTTGTTGGCCACCAATTGATGTTGTTGCAGCCTTTGTAGTACATGGTTAAGCTGTTTCAGATGCTCTTCCCAACTCCCACTATAGATCAAAATGTCGTCGAAAAACACCAGCACCCCTTTTCTCAACATGTCACGGAAAACATCATTCATTAAGGATTGGAACGTGGAAGGAGCGTTCATAAGCCCGAAGGGCATAACTAAGTACTCGTAATGGCCTTCATGGGTCCTAAACGCCGTTTTATGCACATCTTCCTCCCTCATACGTACTTGGTGGTACCCGGATTTTAAGTCCAGCTCAGAGAAGAAAACTGCACCATGAACCTCATTAAGCAGCTCATTTATCATCGGTATTGGGAATTTGTCAGGGACCGTGACCTTATTCAAAGCACGGTAGTCAACACACATCCTCTAAGTAGCGTCTTTCTTTTTAACCAGAATTACTGGGCTCGAAAACGGGCTCTGACTTGGTCTAATGATACCCATGCTCAACATTTCTCTGACCTGTTTCTCTATCTCATCCTTGTCATGATGGGGATATCTATACGGACGCACGTTAACTGGTCTCTCTCCTTCACGTAACACTATCATATGCTCTTTACTCCTAGTTGGGGGCATTCCTTGTGGTTCTTGGAATACCGCTTCATATTTCAACAACACTAACTCCAATTTCTCTCTCTGCTGAGGAGTCAGAACCAAATTAGCGTCTTCAATGACATTTCCAGAAGCAAACTTTAGATCCGTGGACATCAACATGCCCCCCATCCATGTACGCCTCCCAATAAACATGCTCTGAAACGCAGTTTGGGATTCTTGGTCCTCTCCCTTCAAATTCACCCACACTCCGTTTCTCACTACCCTCATGGTTTTCTTACCCCAATCAACAACCATCTCTCCCATGGTAGACAGCCAAGACATGCCCAAAACCACATCAATATCCCCCAACTCGAACAAGTTGGCATCGATAGTTACTTTGAGCCCTCCTAACTCCATTTCCACAGCCTCGCATTTTCCCCGAGCTACCCTTTTGCTCCCATCTCCCAGCTTTATACTAATCCCCCTTGTGTCAACAATCTTCCACCCCATTGCTTGAGTCAATTTCCTCGATATGAAATTGTGTGTGGCTTCGCTGTCCACCAATACTAACACTGGGACTCCTTGAATGGTTGCTCTTAGTTTCGGAGTTTGGAACTGTTGGCCTTCCTTAGTTTCCAAACTTCCCAAATCAATCACACTACACTCTCCATCAACCCTCTCCTCTTCTTCAACTTCAAAGGTGTTTTAGGTGGGCTCATCATCTATCTCTTCCTCTTCGTCTAACACCATCACACGCAACTGGCGATTTGGGCATTGATGCATTGGGTGAAATTTACCTCCACACTTGAAACATAGTCCCTTTTTTCTTCATTTTGTGATCTCATGAAAAGATAAGTGTCTGACTCCTCTGTCACCCTGTGGTCCACTACTACGAGGGCTAGATCCACTTTCCCTTTCTACATTCTTGTTAGGCCTAAATTGTTGAGCTGACCCAAATTCCCCTCCTCTCATTAGATTTCCTCCTTCAAATTGCTCTCTTCCTCCACGAAATTTGGCCTAACCTGTTCCTCTAACTCCTTTGTTTTGCAAACCTAAATTGGGCCTGTTTGGGTGAAATGGCCCATTCCCTACCTCCTTGCGAGTCATTGTTCCCCAACTTGGGAGAATCCCTTGAAACTTTGCTTCCACCGCTCTTGCCACGTTCAACATTTTGGATCTGGATATGGGTCCTAGGGCCCTCAGTGAACGGATCCTTCCTCGAATATTCTCCTTCAAACCATGTACAAAGTACCCAAAGTACTGGTCATCTGGTAGTCTCTTCACCTGAGCAGTCAACCTCTCAAATTGTTCAATATACTTGTCCACGCTTCTCACTTGTTGCAGCGACGCCAACTGTTCGAACACGTCACCCTCACCTAGCCCACCATATCTATCCATTAACTCACGTTTCAATTATTCCCAAGTCATCTCCTCATCCTCATCTAGCAATGAATTGAAGAAATGGATAGTAGACCCCTCCATACAGAGCTGAGCCAAGCTCACCTGAGCCTCTGGATGAGTGTCTTGCACCCGGAAATAGATTTCGGCGCGTGAGATCCACCCCGTTGGATCCTCATCGTCGAACATGGGTAACTCGACCTTCTTCACGCATTGTCAGAATTCCTCTAACACTTCTCCCTTCAAATGCCTCAGTGACCCTGGTGGTGTTGATTTCTCCTTCTTCACAGATTCATGTTCCTCTCGGTGGTGGTGGTTGTTGTCGTCACCCTCTCCCTCTTTGTTGTTAGTCATTGGAGATTGTTGATCGCCCTTTACCAAAGTCTGAAAGAGCTTCTCAAATTGTTCCTCCATCTTCCGCTGTGACTCCACCATTGCCTCCTTAAGTGCGCCAACCTCGTGCTCCATATTAGTAAGTCTTGCCTCCATCTCGTCGTTCTTCACTCCTTTCTTCTTTGGTGGCATTCACTCTAACAACACCTCGCTGATTCTCCCAAGAATCCGGCAAGTCGGACCAATTTGTTACAAACTAAGATGATCAAGTACTAAATATAACAGATTTAGGAATTAATTGTAAGAAAAAATGCAGAGAAGAAAGGTAAAAGAGAAGAATATAAATGCAGCAGGAAAAATGGTCTTTCAATGCTACCCACATAGTTATCCTCCAATAGAGAACAAATATTCCCTACCCACTTATTTCTTACTCATTACTCCCACCTCTCACTACATGACACTCATCCCTAACCGAATTCCTCCCCTCCCTCCTAACAAACTTACTCTTCTAATAATTTCTATTTCCTCAAGCAAGAAGAGTCACATTCCTTTTTTACCCTTTCTAGAGTACACATACCACACTTTGGATCCATGACTTAGCTGATCTATCCCCGGGCCTCTATCAATATTTTCTGATTATATCTAGAGAATCCATCAGTGTATTCTCTCTACAAACAAAGAACAATAAAGACTTATCACATAAAGTGATTCGGCTATGTGAATCACACAACACCAATCAGGTCCGGTAAACACTCCACAGCAATTACAGCACACCAGCCACATTTGTCAACAATTTTCTGCATGATTGAGGTTTAGAAGGTTTATGAGCCATGTATGGCAGTCACTCCAAAGATATAAATTCTTCCTGGACAGCTTTTTTAGAAGGTAAAAATAAGAAGAAAAATTGAAATTAAAACATGCTATTTGTAAAAACTAGTGCACTTATCAAGAAACTCGGACCAAACGGTTCATAACTGATCGATCAAAGAAGTGCAATAGGGTAAAATACCAGCTTCCCCATAGGCTGCATCAGCAGGAGAGACCTTAGAGGCAACAGCAGCAGCACCAATGACCACAGTGAGGACCAACCTGCGAGAGACAAGGCTGGTGGCGTCACCCTCTTGGACAACCTGCTTCTGTGCCTTGCAGACAATGTGGTTCGGTTTGGTGGTCACCACTTGGCGCTGTGGTGAAGCTCTAGCTGGCGTGGTGAGGGCATGGTGGTGCAAGAAACATTGGGTGGAGGCCATTCTGCTCAAAACTAAAAAATCTTCACACTTTCTTTGGCCTTTGAATCAGGCAGTATAGTAGGCAGAGTGAACTTGGAAGTGGTTTAGATGTAGGATGGATGATGTGGCAGTGAAAATGTGGCTGCCTTTGGATATAGCATTTTTGGAGGTGAATGATTGGTATTAGATGGGATTTGTGATGTGGGATAAGGGAGTTCGGGTTCTGATTGGTTACACGTGCCACCATGCTATGAATTCTTCTATTTACTAAAGAAAACTCTTTTTACATGCAAGAAAGAAAGTCTTTTGAAGCTGATAGAACTTGTGTTGCAGAGTTCAGAGCTGACTTCTTCTGTTCAAATGTAAACAGTGTACTCAATCTTTATTGAAAGAAAAATGATTAATTCACAACTTAATCTTTTCAAACAATTAAACTACAACTTTATTTATTAATAAAATAATAACTTTTAATTAATTTTATTTAAATTAAAGCTTTTTAATGATTATAATATATATATATATATTAGGAATTAATCTATGGAAGGTTTTTTAACACGTTTTGACATGGATTGAAAGTTTTAGTCAATGTATTTTAAAATTCACTCTTTGATTCATTTTTTAAAATTATTTGTAAATTAAACTAAAATAAAAAAAAATATATAATTAAAAATATTATATTTTTTTATGTTATATTATTAAAATATATAAATGTTGACGAAGAGGAAAAATAAACTAAGAAATATCTTTTTGATGATATTAAAGTAGTTAAGATAATTATTTTGTATAAAGTCAAACTTTGAATAATCAAATATATTAAAACAAACGTGCTAATAATCAATTAGATAAAGGGATAACCAATTATATGACTTAAAATTAAATTTTCATAAGACGTACTAATAATTGATTATGTGGTCACCTAATTGATTATTTACCAAAAATTTTGTTTTAACATAATGCGTTGTTAATCGATTAGATAAAGGATTAATCGATTATATGAATTAAAATTAAGTTTTAATTAGACGCGTTAATAATCGATTATGTAAGTACCTAATCGATTATGTGGTTATTTTCAAACTATCACTTGTCATTACTAGAAAAATGTCGAATAGTAACCGAAATCAGTGATTGAAAAATTTGAGTTACTTATCAATGAGCTGAATTAATGATCAAATTATTATTTTTTAGTTTAGTAATCTGAAATAGTAATCGAATTTTCGATCACATAAAATCGAGTTACTATTTTAGTCACTTTTTAATTAAATTTAATTTTTTAATTAATTTTATTTTTTAATTCATGTAATTAATATTGAATTATTTGGTTACCCTACCATATTTCATCTTCTTCCCGCTGCAACCCTCAATTTCGTCCCCCATTTCATCTTCTTCCCGTTGCAACCCTCGCAATTTCGCCACATTTCATCTTCTTCCCACTGCAACCCTCAAAAATTTCATCCCAAATTCATCTTCTTCGCGTTGTGTAACCATACTGACCTCCCAAATTCATCTTTTTCGCACTCACCATTCTTGTCCTCGCGCTCACCATTCTTGTCCCAGCCTCAACATCGACGAAGTCGAGGTCGAAACCCAACTCCGGCGACATCGAAACTCAATCTCAAGCCAAACCCAAATCGTTGTGTTGTGAAACCTTACGCAAACCCAGTGGACCTCGAACCCTAACGCAGACCCCAAGGACGTCAAACCCTAACCTCGACCCAACCCCATCGATCTCGAACCCCAATCGTAACCCTAACCCCGACGACCTCAATTCCAACCAAAACCCAGGAAACGTCGTATTAGAATCCTAACCCGATGACCTCAAATCTGCTCTAACCCGAGCATAGGACATGACGAGCAGACCTCTACATACACGGTAATGCTTATTCAAACCATTTGAATTTCCTTATTAAATGTAGTTTTACATTAGAATCCTAACCCGATGACCTCAAATCTGCTCTAACCCGAGCATAGGACATGACGAGCAGACCTCTACATACACGGTAATGCTTATTCAAACCATTTGAATTTCCTTATTAAATGTAGTTTTACATGGTATGTTTTTTCTATGTGTTGATGGTGGGGGGAATAATGGTGGGCAGTGGAATTTTGGAAACAAGGGGAATCAAAATTTTGAGTTGAAGACTAGTCAGGAAGATCTCGATTGAGAGACTGATCTCGTGTTTGATATGTAAGTTCAATGTGACCACTTTCTTCAGAGTGTTCAATTTTGGTTCTATTATACGTTTTGCTTTTGCAAATTATGGTCAAGGTTTTTTGTATTGTGCTGTTCTCAGTTTCTGATGGCATAATTAAGTTGATGAATTAGAAAAAAAGTGTTAAGCTGTTACATTATTTTTTCATGTTTCATGTTTCTTGTTGGTGTATAATTTTATTTTTGTTGGTGGGGGAACGGGTATGAAGCATTTTGGGGTGTTGTTTTTTTCTGCTTTGGCAGATGCAATCACCTTATTTATCAAGTTTCTTAATTGTATAAGTTAGCTTGTTTTGTCAAAGGATGTGAATTTGACTTTTTTTTTCTGACTTGAACAGCAAAAGTCACCAGTAAAGGTGACTTGAAAAACAAAGTGGTTATTACCAGTGCATGAACAAGTAAAGTGTAGAATATATAACAAAAGAGAAAGAAAAGAAAAATGGTGAATTGAAGAGAAGGCAGGGAGGGCCCCAAAACCGAAGTTGTAAAGTTGTAATGTAGAATATATAAGGTTATTTAGTTGTGAAGTTGTAAAATCAAAAGTTTTTGGACAGCTAAGATGATATCTCTTTTAGTGACTGATTTCATAGTAAAATTGGATAAGATTAGCTTACCCTATCCACCATTCTAATTTGGTCTTCCAAACACGTTAAAACTTAAAATGCTCAATTGGTCAGTATTATCGTACATCTCTAATGTTTTACTGAATAGTGACACTCAATTGTTTTAAATATAAGCTTGTTATCATGATTTGACATTTTTCTATCTAACCAGGGGAAGCTATTTTTAGATTTTGAATCAATACAAGTAAGAGTTGATGCAATAATGTTTCTTAAGCAGTTGGATTTTTTGGTTTGTACATTTTTTATAAATAGAAGAATTGCATTTTTCATTTTAGTTATGTTAATGGGATTTATCAACTTAGCTAGTAATTGTTTTCTGAATTTTAGTATTGCAGAACTTTCCCCATGATGATTTATTTTGGCCAAGGGAAAGTTCATACGGATTGCATAAACATGTTCTTGGAAAGCGAAATCGAAACTAATCCAAAATGCTTATTTAATTTAAGCAATCATGTTAGTTGGCCACTAAAGTACACTTGAAGAATGTCTCATAGCATATTTTAATATTGATTTGTGTTATTTTCAGCGGAGAAAGCGATGCATAATGTTGTTGAGGACATACTTTTGGTTACCACTCCCCTATACTCCCTTTCTCAAACATATCCTAGAAAATTTTAAGGCCAACATAAGTAATATTCATTATGGCATATGAAGTTAGTGGAATTAAGTAGAAGCACGTAAGTATGAAGTTTTGATTTTAATATACTTGATGTGCATAAAGTAATGGTAGTAGAAAATTAGAAGTATAGGACGTTGCGTTCAGGTGTAAGCCTATAACAGGACGTCTCACGGAGACCATATTCTAATTTAGAAACATAATCTCTTTGCAATAAATATCACAGGAACTAGGATATGAAACAGGTCCACATTAAAGTTGTGTCATGATTTTTGGAATTATAAACTGTGTGCAGTATTTTTTACAATCCAGATAGGTTTTTCATATAAAGCAAACGGAATAAGTTGAATTTCCACAACTAAAAGTTTTCCAACCCTGAATCTTTTGTCCTCGAAAGGGGTGCTCTTCATTTGCATGCTTTCAAAACTAGAGATGGAATAGGAGGCGATGAAAAATTATCTAGGTCCCAGTATCCATTTAGCACTTTGGTTAACCTGAGTTAATATATAATATATTTTGCCTGCATAAGCGCCAGAGATGCACCTAAAGATACTAAACTAATGCACTCAAAAGTTATGTACGGATCATAATTAGTCAATTTCATCCCCCAAATTAAGCTTTAGCTTGCAAATGATTGTGTCTATCTATGACTTTATTTAATTTTTATTCAGATACTAATGCTTAGCAAAATGACCTATTGTAACTAATTTAAAAAGGTAAATAAATCTGAAGGATGAAAGAGTCAAGCTAAACTTTATCGGAGCAAACATAGAAAATCATAAGTTTAAGTTAATGCAAAGAAATCTTGATTGTCAAAAATGTATTAGATAAGAAATACTGAACTTCACCAAAATCTTCGTGATATTGTTTTGGGAAACTTTTGACACTGACTTGATCAGTAATACGAAATTTTTGATTGTTTATTTGTTGTCTCTATCATTTCTTTCAGAGTCAAAGAGGTTAATATACCTGAAGGTTCTAGTAAGTTTTACCTCGTAAATGTACACCTTATCACTAATGCTTTTCAGTGTAGCCATTTGGGGTATTTCACTCATAACAGAAGTTCAGAATTATCTGAGAACCCTCTGAAGTCAGGTCCATGAAAAAATTATTTCATTCTTCAACTGCTTCAATATATTGTACTTTATTTCTCTATGTGTGTTAGTACTTGTCCACCGTTACCATGATTTATTCACAACTATCCAAGAAAAGGCACCAAACAGTGGTAGATTGCAATTTGGTCTTATTTCATTATGTACATGTACACATTAATTAGGTGTCATTTATTTTACTATTTAGTACGTGTTGAATATGTAAATATAGCAATGGATGGTTTTTTTTCAATTGAATTAAATGCACATTGGAGTTACTCTTTATTAGAAAACTTAGTATTAAACTTAAAGTCCTCTAATTGTCTTTTGCAGTAAAGTTTGGATTTGTCATATTTAAAGGGTCTTTATGTGTTTGCATTTAACGTCTCAGAAATCTCTTATCCATTGAATGTGTCGTTTTCTTTCCCATAATTATAATAACTTATTTAATCCATTAACCATTTTGACATGCTTTTTTATGC